ACAAGCCTGGTCGACATGGTGAAACACTGTCTCTACTAAAAATACAAAAATTAGCCAGATGTGGCAGTGGGTGCCTGTAATCCCAGCTACTTGGGAGGCTGAGGCAGGAGAATCGCTTGAACCTGGGAAGTGGAGGTTGCAGTGAGCCAAGATGGCGCCACTGTTTTCCACCCTGAGTAACAGAGTGAGACTCTCTCTCAAAAATAATAATTAAAAAAAAATTCAGGTAAAACTCATAAAATTAACCATTTTAAGGTGTACAATCCAGTGGCATCTAGTACACTTACAATGTTGTACAATCACCCCCTTTATCTAGTTTCAAAACATTTCCATAACTCCAAAAGAAAGCACTATAAACATTAAGTAGTCATTCCTTATCCTCCCTGCCCCTAGTTCTTGGCATTTTAACTTTCTCTCTCCTTATTCCGCTGTCTTGCCTAGGCATCACAGGAAGCCAGCAGCTCCTGCAAAACAGAGTAGGTTAAATCTGCTAACCAGGTAGTCAGCTAAGGCAATGCCCAGCATATGAGTTTTTGTTTCTATGGCTTTTATCTATTTTGGATCTTTCATATAAATGGAATCATTCAAATGTGACCTTTTGAGTCTGGCTTTCTTTCACTTAGCATAATGTTTTTGAGGCTGATCCATATTAGAGCATGTATTAGTAGTTTATTCCTTTGTATGGCTAAGTAATATTCTATTGTGTGTATATCTCATATCTTATTTACCCATTCATTAGTTGATCAACATTTGAGCTGTTTTCACCTTTTGGCTATTATAAATAGTACTGCTATAAACATCCAGGCATAGGTACTTATTTGAGTATGAAAGCATTATTTTTTACATTATGAAAATAGTAGACCAAACGAATCCAATATGGGTTGAAAAAAATCTACAAAACTAGAAAAATATAGGAACATGTGATCATAGTATTAGCAAGTTACAAATTCAGAAGACATCAAGGAAAAAAATTTATACCTCTGAATACCATAATATGTAAAAAACTTAGGATATGGAAAAATATACAAAGTTCTCTTAGAAAGCATTAAGAAAATATAAGTCACAGAAAATGCACAACTGAACAGTCAATTCATATGATAATCAGAGAAATAAAACAAGGTATCATTTATTTGTCCAAACTAGCTAAATAACAATAGCACTGATAATATCCAATGCTAGCAAGAATGTGGGGAAAAGGATTCTCTAATATACTGATGAAATAAAAGTCAATTAATATAATCTTTCAGGACAGTTTAAGAGCATCTGTTAAAGTTTAAAATCTTAAGACCCAACAAACCAATTTCTAGAGACACATAGGAACTATACTTTTAAAATGTGTACAAGGCAATAATGATGACTATGAAGTAATAATCATGATTACAGCAGCAGACAACTAGCTAATGTTTAAAATGAGTCAGACACTGCTCAAAGCATATACATGTATTAACTCATTAAGGATCACTATAACCCTATGAGGTTGGGACTGTTAACTTCATTTTAAGAAGAGACTGAGGGCCAGGCAAGGTAGCTGACACCTGTAATCCCTACACTTTGGGAGGCTGAGATGGGCGGATCACGAGGTCAGGAGTTTGAGACCAGCCTGACCAACATGGAGAAACCCCATCTCTACTAAAACTACAAAAATTAGTTGGGCATGGTGGCATGGGCCTGTAATCCCAGCTACTCAGGTGGCTGAGGCAGGAGAATGGCTTGAACCC